ATCACTAAACCTCCCAAACTAATAAATTTAATCACTAATCCTCCTGAATTATCCAATTCTAATTAATTCAACATCATAATTAAATTCGATAAATGACGTTTCATTAGCAAAATCGCGTTTAATTAATCGCGTAGCAAAAAAGTTAACCCTATATATAATAATCTTTCTCAGTCTTCTTCCATTTCAAATCTCTCCCATCTTTCTCTCTCGCTTAGTCAAAATTAGGGTTTATTATTCCCAAAAAGGAAGAGTTTTTTTTTTCCGGGAATTGATTTCGAATTCTGTAGTACAAATCTCCAGATCATGTCGGCATCAACGGTGTCTCTCACCACTACTCCGACGACGGAGATTAGACGGCGGACGCCTGTTCTCTCCGGTGAGAAGAAATCTAATTTTGATTTCCCACCGAGCGAATCACATGCGAATGCGGCAATTGGAGACTCCGGTGATACGAATCGGGATCTGACTCGCGCCGAGGCTTCCGCTGAGAGATCTAGCGCCTACGACGTGGGTCCGGTTAGAAGGAAATCGGGATCCACAGCGACGGGGACTAATACGACCACCCCGCAGCGTCGGACGCGGAAGGTTCAGGGACTGAAGACGGAGAAGGCTCAGTGGAAGAGAGTGGTTAGGGTATTCGCGAAGCAGTTGGGAGTTCTTTTGTTGCTCGTTGGATTGATTCAATTGATAAGGACAGTGACTATGAAGGAGGAGGATAGGTCTCTATCTTCTTCGAGTTTCCCAATTGAAACGGAGATGGTGCTTTCGGAATTGGAGAGTCGGATTTCTGCAGTTGATGGGTTGGTTAAGACGACGACGAAGATGATGCAAGTCCAAGTCGAATTTCTTGATAAGAAGATGGAAAGCGAAACGAGAGCACTGAGGCAGACGATTGATTCTACGTCTTCTGCGTTGCAGAGTGATTTGAAGAAGATAGAGTCTAGGACTGAGACGTTGCAGGCTTCTGTAGATGAAGTCAATGCTAAACCTTTGGTGACTAGAGAGGAATTAGAGAGGGTTTATGAGGAGTTGAAGAAGGGTAAAGTACATGATACTTCTTTTAGCGATATCAGCATTGATGAATTGAGGGCTTATGCTCGTGATATAGTGGAGAAGGAGATTGGAAAGCATGCTGCAGATGGACTTGGCCGAGTAGACTATGCATTAGCGTCAGGTGGGGCTTTTGTAATGGATCATTCGGATCCGTCTCTTGGTGGAAATGAGGGTAGTTGGTTTGGGACAAGCAAAATACGGCGGGTTCATAGCCAAGCGGTTAGGATGTTAACTCCGAGTTTCGGGGAGCCTGGACAGTGTTTTTCTATGAAAGGAACTATTGGATATGTTCAAGTCAGGCTAAGAACACCAATCATACCAGAGGCTGTTACCTTGGAACATGTCTCTAAGGTAACACTAACATCTCTAACTGTACTTTTACAAAATGATTGATTTAATATCAGCTGTTGAAAAGGGTTCTCTGTGAAGTGTTTTGATCTTCAGATTGCCATGTTCAACCGATTGAATTGCTGTGTGATGTTGTGTTATTGAATAGAGGGAAAGAATCTAGTTTTGTAAATTTGATCTTTGTAGCTCGATGTTCAGTTTAGACCACTAGCTGTGAAAGTATGCATTGAGGAGAATTTAGACTTTGATTGTTTGTATCATCAGGGAGTAGGTTTCTGTCATAGACTCTTCTTTGAAAACCTCTAGCTTTAGCAGTTTCCTTGAATCTATTCCATATGGCTTCTTGTACTTTGATTTAGTATATTGTTGTGGTTTCGGGATATCTCCAAAGACAGTATTAAAGGAGATAAACGAAAAATTCAATCATCGAAGTAGTCCTTTTGGTTACAGAGTTTAAGTTGATGGTCACACATTGTTCACCCTTGTAAACATTTGTCTGACAATTTCTTCTCGTCTGACCACTAAAAGCTGTTACTGATGTTATGTTTATGTACCTTTAAAACAAATAGGCTGTAGCGTATGATAGATCGACCGCCCCAAAGGATTGCCGTGTATCAGGATGGCTAGAAGAGAAAGAAATGGAGAGTGAGACAATGTTCCTTCTTACAGAGTTCAGTTACGACTTAGAGAGGTCCAATGCACAGACATTTGAAATTCCAGATTCTGCTCGCTCGGGACTTGTCAACACTGTTAGGCTAGACTTCACATCCAACCATGGAAGCTCTCCATACACTTGCATCTACCGTTTCAGGGTTCATGGCCGTGAACTAGACTCTGTTGTTCTTTCTTGATCTGAAGTCCACGTGAAACTTTTCTTCTCTTTGTAACATTCCCTCGTAGCTTTTAGTCTGTGATCAGAATTACCTTCTTTAGTTTTTCTTTTTCTTTTGTGGATTAGGAAACACATTGATCTTAGTTTCAAATCTGTTTTGGTTCGGTTTGGTTAGGGAATGTATCCACCGAATTGAAACCAAATAGAATTTAGTTTGGTATTCGGTTTTGGTTTTGTGACACGCAATATTTTGAAAACCGGACCGGACCGGACCGGGGTCGAACTGGGTTCGACCGCGAACCGGCCGGCTATCCGGGTTGGGTTGATCCGGG